TAGGACTAGGAGAGTTAACGAAGTAATCAATTAATGGGGTTCATTGTTTTTCACATGTCATGTATATGGTAACTTTTTCGTTAGCCCATGAATGGTAAAATGATAGAAGAAAAAAAAATTATTGGACCCACACTAGAAAAGTAGAATTCATAATAAAAATTTCCTCTAACAATTGTTGGGAGAAAATTTTCTTCGGATAAAAAAAAGTTGTTTGATAACAAAAATTAAATATTTTTTATGTGGGCTCGGGAGAAAAATCAGCTTATTTTGTTTTCTTCATTATTGGTAAATGGCAGAAGAAAAATTTATGCTTTCTTTTTTTTTTTTCTATAATAGTCTACCAATTACAGCCATAGATATATCAGTTCATTCTTAATGGACTCTCTATGTCAAATCACATGAGGGTTAATACAAGAGAATTTGCACTGGTAGCAAAAGAAAAATGGGTAATTTGTCAAATGACAACGCAACTGTTGTACTTTCAATATCCCAATTATAACCCTATATGAGTCTTGCTTTAGCGTATGTAAATGATAGAGTTTATATCATTGTGTCAGAAAGAAATCAAAACAAATCTATTTGAAATATGGTCGATACATACACAAGTACACAATATAGCCAAGTTGTATGACTAAGTGGGTTGATAAAAAAGAAAAAGATATATTTTAGGAGAGATAAAGGTTGTTTCGTTTTTCATCTTTGCATAGATTAGAAGAGAGTTTTGAGATGAATGGTGAAAAAAGAGAAAAAGATTTTGCGATGGTCCGACATAATTGCAGACAGTGGGTAGAGAGAGAAGTAGTCGAATCGACTTATAAGTATAGTAAGTACCGATTATATTTATGCAGAAGTTTTTCCTAAATTATTTCTAGTTAAATTCATGTTATAGATCTAACATATTTGTCATAAAAAGGGTTGAGGATATGGAAGACAAGCCGTAGTTGCCGACGCGGATGTTTGCCGCCGGCAAGAACCAGTTGGGGTTAGGGTTAACTCATAGACCTCATCATCTGAGCCAGATGGAGAAGAGGGAAACGACGAGGCTCGAGAGAAAAAAGATAAGTATGAGCCATGGCTATGACAGAGACTTGCACGAAACTTGAGAGGTAAATAATGATAATAATTAACTTGGTCAGATATTATATGTTTAATGGATACAATGAAATTTAGCAGATAATTGTTTGAATAACCGATACTATATATCCATGTCGCTAAATTAGTTATTAAAGGTTTTTTTTTTTTGAAGATGTTGGTGGAGGAAATTTTTGCGATAAGAGTAAGAAGTTAGGTAGCACTGATTTTTAATTTAGCATCTTAAGTTGTTAACTTGTTTTTAGTGTAACAAGCTAGGTAGCCATCCCCAAATTATTTCCGTTCCCGAAACGTTTCTGGTGCGCAAGACAACTACAAAGTGACATGCAACATAGGCAAGAAGCACACAACCATCCCTAATAGTCTTGTTGAAGACTACTCAATGGGACAAAAGAATACTACAACGGACAAAGAAAGCTCATTCCTTCGGAGTTGGGGTTAGGCAACGAGAAGATTACTCTGCAAAGTTTGGCAAGCTGGTTGAGTAGTTGAAAAACTTTTAATAAGTGGGATGTTTTACCTCATTATATCCGGGAATGTATGTTATTGACTGAATAGCATATTAATAAAGTCGTTAACTAAATGAAATTGGTGGATACAATATAAATTATTTAGATAACATAAAGAGTAGTCGGTTAATATAGTTATTAGATAAGTAATATATACACCAAATTTATGACATATCTTGTGAAAAACTACATCAAATTTGCATGACTAAGTAAACTCTACGATTGTTTATGTTGTTATATTGAAAAGCCCTTCCATTACCGTCAATGTATAACRCTTGGAAAACATATCAATCATGATCGATGAAGGAACATGGGGCTATATGCACATATAGAACTGATAGCCGATCAAGAAGAACTTCTTTACAATTTCAAAAGTAATTGAATTGGCTAAACTTGTGTTATCTGTAAGTATAGCGTCCAAGTTTTAATATGTTTGTGTATCTTTGCTCTTACCTGTTAACTCAAAAATTGGCCGCCCAATCAACTTTTAAACCATGAAAAGTTATGAGGTAGCCAGATAATTTTTCGATGAGGCGGTTACATTAAATAGTTGACATTTGTACAGACAACAGCATATGTGTTATATATATATAAGTTACATATAGTTAACGTTGTAAGTAGTGATGAAACTTTTTTTAGCATCCTTGTAATTAATGTCCGCCGTCTGACACATTATCGTGTGGTTTAAAATGCTCTAACAGCTAAGCTAGTTCATAACAGTAGCCTACAAAATATGTTGGCATATGATAAAAGATTTACATGTCTCCCTATTATATATGTTTCTGCATTTAAAGGATAAAATCGTCCATTTCATCAGTTTATGCTACCGTGATTTCGAGTTTTCAATTTTTCTTTGTCATTTATCTGATTATACAACTTTTTATTGTTTACTAGCTAATTGACTCTTAATGCAAGGCAATACGATTTAGACCAAAGAAACCAAAATGACGTAAAAAACAAGCCCAATCACATATCACTAACTATGAAACTACAAAAAGTCATATTTCCCTTGATTGATTTGGTATTTTAATASGCTTAAAGATCCAGCTGTAACAAAATCCACTAGAAAATGTAATCACTACTCCTTTATTCATTCGCATTTTTTAAAATATTCAAAAAAAGAAGAAACTATAAACTTTTTTCACAAGAAAATGATCATCAACGTCATAGAGCCAAACAAACAAACTACCTACTCCATTAAAGAGGAGGAGCGTGGGTCCGACGTGGCATATAGCCGTTACAGTCCCACACACAAGCCGTTTCAATGCTTACGTGGCACGTCTTTTAAAATATTTCTTCTTATTTAAAATAAATAAAAAAAGTAACTTGGTCGTCGTCAAACACAAGAGAAAATCCGACCGTTGTTTGAGTTTATCTTCTTCTTGCCCGAAACACACAACTCAGAAAAATCCCAAAACCTTTTTTCGCTTTCTGTTTTGATCAAAACAAACAAAATCCAAAGAGAGAAAATAGTTGCTTCTGTTCTCTCTGCGTGACGACGATGTTAGGCGATTTTGGTATAACGGAGGAAGATTTTGTAATCGAGGAAGCTCAGGGCTACCCGAGAGCTTACGCAAAGATCTGTCGCGATTTCGATGCTTTTCCGTACATAAATGGTCCTCCTTTCACTTTCATGCCATACATTCTGCAACAGGACGAGGTAATTAGATGGAAATTGCTTCAATTTTTGGGGAAATTGAGCACAAAATCCAAAAGTGTGGGCCAAAATTAGGGTTTTCGGAAGCTCAGGGATTACTTTACTTTTTATTTTTCAATTCTATTGAGTTTGATTCTTCAAATAAAGTAGTTGTTTTGAGATGTGAAATTGACAAGAAAGTTTCTGTTTTTGTTTGTCCTTGAAGAGCTTAAGATGCAGAGAGCTAAACGAGATGTTTCCAGTAATTGATCCGAAAGCAAGACCGACAACGAAACCGAAGATCTTCCTCAGCCTCCTGTGGAAACAACTTAATCATCTAGGGTAGTGGCAAATTCTCATCACACAATGAAATTGTCACACTAACATTGGAGATTCTTATGATCCTGATTTTGATTTTTGTTTGTAGAAATGCTGGCTTTGATCCTGCGGTTATTCGGATTGATCCGTATGGGAATGTTCTTTACTACCACGCTGATTCAGCTTCTCCTCTTGCTTGGGGTTTTGATCATTGGTTCCCTTGCTCAAGTACACACATCCTCTAATCAAATATCCCTTCTTTTTTTAGATTTTGAGTTTCTTTGTTGTCTGATTGATTAAAGATTTTGAGTTCTTGTAGGAGGAGGGTTAACAGTACCAAGCAACCTAAGGATTGTGCAATGGCAGGCACGGAAGAACAAGAAGGACAAGCTTGAGTTCCTTGTACCATGGTGGGAACTTCAAGTAGGGATTTCAGTGAATCAGTTCTTGTCTATTTTTGCCGCTTCAAGCTCCGATTTCAGGTATAGTTACAACAATCTATGTATAGATGCCTAATTCCTTGATGAAACAACCTTTGAATCAAATGTAAAAGTTTTGGTTTTCAACAGGAGGAGAGCATTTTCATTCTTGTTCAAAGAAGGTGAAACCGAGGAACTTAATGGTTCACAAATGGTTGAATCGCACCATTTCCCGCAGCATTTTGTCGAATCAAAAGAGAAGTTTGGGCTTGCATCAGCTGCAGTTGTTGTTTCTAGAAGAGATCCTTATGATCCTTCATTAGTCTTGAGATCACTCGATTACAATCGCCAAACACCTGGTTAGTAGTAACTACTACTCTCGGCTTTTCGTTTATAGATCGATAAATACTCATTTATCTATGGCTATACTGCAGCGAGGAAGATGAGACTTGGTGCGTCGAAAGAGAATGAGACTCGAGATATGATGAAAAATCCGTATCAAGCTATTGCTGCTGCTAGGGATTCACTGAGACACCGAGAGCAAGCTCAGAATATGAGAGCTGAGATGAAGAAGTTAGACGATGAAATGAATGACGTGACAAGAAAGAACAACGAAGAGCGGCTTACGATTCAGGAGCTGGAGAACGAGCTGATTAAGCGAAGAAGAAGAGCTGAAAAGTGCAGGAGATTAGCAGAAGCTCAATGCTCGTACAGGAATACACTCGAGAAGATGATCCGCGATGCAATGCACCAGTAAGATTTTCTTCTCTAGACAAACAATTACATTTCGATATGTTTTAGGCAAAGAACTTTATGGGGTTGTTTGTTTGTAGGAGTGTTGTGTATAAGGAACAAGTGAGGCTAAACCAGGCTGCGAGTAGTGCACTTATGGCGAGATTAGAGGCGCAAAAGGCGATTTGTGATGGTTCAGAGAGAGAACTTCACAAGAAGTTTAAAGAAAGAGAGGAGCTGGAGAATCAAGTGAGACCTGAATTGGAGAAAGCAAGGAAAAGATCGAGATTTTTGCTGAATGATGAAGAGGACTTGTTGCTAGACGATAGAGACAGGAAGTTGTCTCTTTATCTCCCAGGAACAAGTGATGAGATGCCGTTACATAAGGAGTTAAGAGTATACTTTGAAGAAGAGCATACTGAGGCTGAAACTCAGAAGAAGCATGGAGAAATCGAGGAAGAGGAAGAGGAATCAAAGAGTCCAGAGGTGTCTGAGAAGTCTCTTGTTGCATCGGAAGATAAGAAACCGATTGAAGATAAGCTAGATGTAGAAGAAGGGAAGAGAGGCAGCAGTAGAAGCTTCAGAGCATTCCCTGTTTTCAAGGAACCAGAGAGTGAGGAAGATGAGGAAAGCAGGAGAGAGCGAGGGAAAGGAAACGTCGAGAAATGGCTTCACATTTTACTGGAGAACAACAGCAAGAACGATCCACAGGATCTTCAAAGCGAAGGAAGCAAGAAGAATATTGATGAAATGATAGAGAAACTGGACCACAAGTTCCCTTTGCTTGAAAAGGTCGATGAAGAAGAAGTAGACTTGAAGAAGTTGCAGGCTGAGGAGGCAAACAACAACAACACAAGCAAGGTGGAATCAAGAACTGAAAGTTCTCGAAGAAGCAGAATGAGTTTTGATTTGAAGAACACACCAGAGAAGAGTGGCAGAGATAAAGTGGTGAAAAGATCAGAGAGTGCTAGAGCTTTCAGAAGGATTCCATCGTCTCCTTCACTCATCTTTGGAATGAAAAAGGGAATTGACTGTATCAGGAAGAAACCAGTGGTTTCAGGGAACGACGATGAGAATGAGTACCTCGTTAAGAACAACTTCATCAAGTCATCTCTCCAAACAATCAAACGAGCTGTCAAATTTTAGACGATATTCTACCATTATATGCATTTGCTGTAGTGTTGATTCATTCTTGTGTGTGTATAAAGACTTCTTCCCCATTGATACTCCTCCATGTGTAATAACAGCTTGTTGTGTTTGTTTTCATTTGTTGTAGAATCTCTACCTTGAAGGTGTRGTTGTTCTTCCTTCGACAAGCCTTGTCTCGTTGAAGATGTTGATGAGAGGACAAGGTTTGAGTGCAGATGTATAATCAGATTTATTGCATGTTGAGGGAAAGTAAAGAAAGCAATGAGTGAAGTTGCTTAAAAACCAGAGAATTGATAACAATTTATTACTATCAGATTATGAATCATGTTCAAAGAGCATGACAAAAGAAATCAATAGGCCATGGTTCTCATGCAGGTTGGTTGATTTGCACTGAACTTGGAACATAGCAGAAAGCAAGCGGGAAATCATCTCTGTCTATTGTTCTTTTTCCGAGATCCACTTCTGTGTTGTATCCGTTTTCTCCGATGATGTAAGCTATGTGGCGAGTGGGGGATGATGTATTTTTCTCTCATCTGAATCCTTGAGGCTAATAAGTTTACCTATAGACTTTACAGACGGATCAGAGTCGTTTGTGGAGATTGACGCTCATCAAATTAAGATGACAATCCATCAACACGATCGCCACAAACTCCCCTTCACTTGCTGCTGTTGCTTGTTGAGCAAGGTGCTTCTTTGTAAAGAAGCCATCTTTGGATAAAGTGTTCCAATTTTTACAAGTAGACCGGACTCTTCTCTAGTGATGTCACCGGAACCCTAGAGAGAATCTCCTCTACCAAATCTTGTGGCAGATTGGTCATCATCGTCATTGTATTTTCAACAAGGATTTTGATGTTACGCAACTTAAGTTAGGTTAACCTGTAAAAAGTCTCTGTTTTTCTTCTCTGTTAGAGAATTTTTGCCGGCGGTGAAAACATATGCTGAGCTAATTTAGCAATTTAATAATATTAAGAAAGAAGTTAGAACAAAACTAGTTAATTTAACATATTTAAACACCACATAATGTAAATTTTCATAATTCTAATCGAACACGAAAGGAAAATACTGTATGCTATAAATATGCAAAAGCTTGTTGTATTGTTTCATTAATGCAAAAAACTAAGACATAGATTTTCTCCACCTTGAAGGTGTTGTTCTTCCTTTGACAAGCCTTGTCTTCATATTCCCAGGAGTCCTAGGCTCAAACCCTTCACCATTCTCACCTGATTCCTCATCACCATTCGTCATCTTTTCAACGTTAACACTTCCTCTAATCGATGGTACTAACCCGAGCCTCTTCCACCGGAAAAAACCTTTACTCCCACCACTCTTCTTCTCCATAAGCCTCTCCAACTGCAAATGCATAGCACCGCACTCGCTCTGCAGCCTCACCACATCCTCTCTTAGTCTTCTTATCTCTGCTTGCTGAACATTCATCTCACGTTTAGACGAGCACCGCGCTCCAGAACCTGCTTCGAAGTAGTGTGAGCCAGAAGGATTTGTTGGACTCCTCGTCGTGCTACATATCGAGCTACCACTCCAGTCCATGTGACGACTTAGCTTAGTCTGCTCATTGAACAACACTCTAATGATTGCTCTAACTGGTAAACGATCGTTCTGAGCCGCGTGGAGTGCTGCTTCGGGCGATAGCTTTCTACTATCAATAAGTCTACAAAGTTCTTTCCTTTCTTGCTTCAACACCTTGGGATGAGCCTACAATTCATGAAATATGAAATCTATAAGAATCTGAATCTCAGTTTCAAATTTATAACATTTTTGTTATTATTTTATTTACCTTGAGATATGTATCAATGGCTCGGTACAAACCGTCTTCAGTGGTACGAGCATGACTAGGCAGAGCTTCGATTAGGGAAATAAACTCCGGTAGAGTCAAACCACCGTCTAGGGCGGCTTCGGCGAGGTAAGAGTCAACAAGCTTCGCTACTTTAACTAGTGCAGCACCTGTTTTAACACCTTCAATGTCCAATCCGGCGAATCTCTTCACGAGACGAGTCACGAGCTCAACGTCGAGCAGAGTCCCACACGTGTGGCTGAAGGAAGGTATCATAAGCTCCTTGAGAGAGGCTTGGTCGAGCTGCCACGAGACTCTGGTTTCAAGCTCCGTTAAGTAGTTAGGATTGGCTCCGACCATTTTAGCTGTACGGAGGAGACGGAGAAGGAAGTTGCAAGGAACAGAGTCTTTCTCCGGCGGGAGGATTCCGACAAGGGTTTCGACGAAAAACCGTTTTTTCATTAGAGAAGCCGTGACGCTCTCCGTCTGTGGTGGGTCATTGCGGCGGATTTTAGGTTCCGTGAGGGCGGAGACATTGCCGGAGAGATCAGGGAGCCATTTTGAAGCGTAATGAGCAATGATGGAACCGATAAGGTCTGGTCGGATTCCTTTGGATTTGATTCCGGTAATGGTTTTGACGAAATAGTTCATGTCTTGGATACAAGAGTCGTCGAACCAAGAGTAGTACTCCATATCTCCGGCGACGGAATATTGCTGTTTGTCGGAGATGGTTGCAGATTCCGGTGAAGGTGTTTTCTTCATTTTTTTCGGGTTTTTTTTTTTTAACCGTGAGGTTTCGATGTGTAGTGGTTTTATATAGAAAGCAAAGTGATTGTCTTTTTTACGTTTGCTTAAGATTTTTGCTCGAAAAGCTTTAATCATGACTTGCATAAACTTCCAAAAGAATTAAAAAAAACAGAAGTTCTGCATATCTTTGAGAAAAATTCAATTAATTTTCAATTTTAGTGAAAAGTTGATAACTCACGTTTATTCACCATATATGCATCCTAGCTAAATAGCCTAATAATAGTCGTGGTCATGTGAAAAATGTATACAAGATATAATATGCGTATGTTTAAACAACTAGATTTCAGAGTTTAGAGAACATATAATGTCAAATAACAAAATACTAGAGTTTCCGTGCAATAAATTACACTTTATCCCTAAATGCTAAGGGTTTTTTACTCAGAAATGATACGCATTATCCAAATGTTGGAGCCTGGAGGAGTCTTGAGAATTGAGAGGCTGTAAAGGAAGATAGAGATAAGAAAAGCATGAAGACAAAAACCCTCTTGATTTGCCAAATGTATATACATACAAAATTATTATAACAAAGGGAATATTACCAATGCATAGACGTGTCTATATTCTCTGCGATGCTAATGGTATTTGTATTTTTGTGATATTGATTTATTGCTATATATACAATCAAAAAACATTTACAGTGTTTGTTTGATTTCGACTGTAAACTCCAACATTATAGTTAAGTTTGGTTTCGGTCTACTTCTAAACCAAGAATCACCTAGAAATGATCATTGTTTGAAGAATTTCAAAAAGTATCTGTTATGTATATAATAAGTAATACGACAATTTAATTGTAACACAAGAAGTACATTCTTGAATGATTTTGACTGTAAAAAAAGGAAAGTAACGAGATAAGCTTTGTAGTATGCATAAATCTATAAAAGACAGCACTTTGGAAAAGACAAATAAATCATAGTCTCTCTGTTTCGAATTTTTTGTAATATCCTTCTCTCCATGTGGTTTTGTAGATGAAACGACAATGAATGGTCCCGTTTTAGAATATCGTGACCATCCCTCTCGTCTTATCAAAACCATACGTACATGCCAAAAATAAGATTCGCTCTCTCTAGCTTTTCTTTTTGTTCCCATTGCACATTCACATCACATCACCACTGTGAGATTACACACACACACATAACCGCTTAAGCCCATCGAAGGCCCGTCATATAACAGATATGTATGTGCTTGGCTTTTGACTCACCTTTATACAAAGTTATGAGAAGCTTAATTGTTATTAAGAAGTTAAGTTTGTTCAATTGTTGAATTCCTAACACAGAATCTTGAACGATGAATCAAAATAACATGATTTGGGACTACTATTACGAGATAAGGCGTTGAATCTGCGGGCATCTAAACGTTAGAATCATCATATGTTGGACCAGAGCATCTCCTGGATTCCTCCAAAGGGTTACACACACATCCACAACTACTTTTCCTTTGTCCTGAATCGAAATCTAATAACGATAACTCCAAAACCACCGAGAACTCTACCCGCGGATTCCCACTTCATGGTGTTTGGCAGAGAGGAAGTGCAAAACTCTTCCCTTAGTAAACACAATCCATGGTCTTTTGTTTTACTATTCTGAGCTAAAGCATCGAATCCCGTTAGCATCGGACCAGAGCATCTCTTGATTTTTCGCCAATGGGTTACACACATCCACAACTACTAAGTTGTCCTGAACTGAAATCTAATAACGATAACTCCAATAGTACTGAGAAGGCGAGAACTCTACCCATGGATTCCCACGTTGTGGTGCTTGACAGAGAGGAAGTGCAAAACTCTTCCCTTAATAAACACAATCCATGATCTTTTGCTTTATCAGGAAAACGAACAATGATGACAAAGAGCGCCTTTTTTTGGGGGAAATACAAAGTTGGAAACGAGATTGTAGTAGAAAGATTTTTACACAGATGAACCAAGTCTAAGGATAAAAACAAGCAGTCATATAAGCATACAAGTGTTTGTGTCTTTTGATGAACTAAACAGCTTATGATGGAAGTATATGAACTAAACATCATTTGGTTCAACCAAAGGTTTTCTCACTGCTATAACACATGTAAACGAATCCATCTTCGTCTTTATAAGTTTCGTAGACTGAATCCATTAAAGCAGCTGCAGAGTGAGAGAGAGAGTAAACAGAACACATCAAAACAACAACTTTTACCAAGAAAGGCTTACAAGCAGAAATAACCGAGTTGCAGAAACTCTCACCGGTTTGAGGCAGAGTGTTGTTGACGAACACGAATAAGGCTTTACCAGGAGACAAATGCAATCGAGCACTCAAGATGTATATGAACTGACCAACCGACATATCTCGTGGAACAAGAAACCTAAACATTTCAAAAGACAAGTTAAATCATCATCATCATCTCTTCCCCAGGAACATATTTGAAACAATTCATACAACAAGGATCACTCTGAAATTCCTAAATCGGACTCAACTCACCTATACATGGACATGATTACTTTTGAACTTAAAGTGGACCAGATGAATAGATTATCATGAAAAAAGACAAGTTTTGTGATGATTTTTCTTACTTCTTTTTCTCAATCGCAGGTAGATCGGTCTTGCAATACTTCTCAGCAATTACCTGTAACACATAATTGAGTTCCTTTAAATTTCAGATTGAATTTGAAATGAAGGTACCAAACACACAAAATCATATCTGGGTAATTGAGTAGATGAGAGACAAATCAATTCGAGAAGGAGGTAGAATTTGAGCTCCACAATAGACTTACTGGAATCCGAGTAGGGTACTTGGCGATTATCTCCCGCGATTCCGCGAGCCTTTCGCCTGCAAAATAAAGAAGAAGATTAGGTGAATTGATTAATTCGTTTTCCGATCAACCAGAAACGAATTTGCAGACGTAAACGATGATCGATCATGAAATCGGCAACGAACCTAACGTTAATTCTTCCTTGAAAGATTTCATCTTCGACCACCGGAGATTTGATTTCTTCGTCGAATCTGCGTTTTTCCCCTTTTCGAGAGATGAAATCAATACGAAAATAAAAAACTATAGTTAAATAGTTTGTTATAGTCTTCTTAACAACAAAGCGGGGATAGCTCAGTTGGGAGAGCGTCAGACTGAAGATCTGAAGGTCGCGTGTTCGATCCACGCTCACCGCATTTTTGCAATTTTAATTTTCTTAACCGTTTTCGGTATTCGTCTCAGATTCTGCTCGTTTTTGGGCCTGTTTACGTAACTTATCGGCCCAGATTCGTTTTTTTGTGTGATTAATTGCATAAATCTACAAAAAGAAACTTTCCAACATCTGATACGTGTATTGTCTTGAATTCAATCCCAGTCACTTGCGTGTAGAGTTTTATTAGTCTGTTACTTGTAAAACCAAATGAGATTACACAAACTCAAAGTGAGAAACTTTTGATTACAACGAAAACGAATCATCTCTTTACTATTCCCTAGCTTACTACCAGCAACCAGAGTAATAAACATTTAGTAGCTCAAAGCCTCAAAACACAGGATGATTGTGGTCATTCGTCGAGTAAAACCGAAACTGGAGTCTTTCTAAATGGATCGACTTGAGCAAGTTTCACAGCAAGAGTTTTATTTGGGAACAGATTATCCGCCTTCAACCTCTCATCCATCCCATAAGCAGGAGTTTTGGAGTTGAGATAAGCCAAGAGAACAGTTTCATACTGCATAAGCTGAGCTGAATATCCTGCACTTTTCATCCTCAGGAAAACCTTCTCTGTGTTATGAACATCGCCTCTTCTCGCATATTCCTCAAGAATCACCATGTACGAAATGAACAAAGGTCTCATCTTATTATCTTTTGTCGCTTTATTTAATATCAACTCAGCTTTTCCAACTTCTCCAGCTTTGGTGTAAAGCTTCACAAGCGCGTGCCATGTTGATGGGCCAATCTTAATCCCTCGATTCGCCACTCGTTTAACCAGATCTTTGCCTTTCGCTAGCATCTTGTTCTCCGTGTATATCTCCATGAGGGCAAAATATGGCAGCATAGGGAAAATTTTGTATTTCTTCACAAGTCTCTCGAACACGGCCTCTGCTTCTTCGATTTCCTTCAGTTTTCCCCATGCTTTAATGGCAGCAATGCAATTATCATATCTCAATGTTTGCTCAGCAAACCTACACAGTCTTCTCACATTCTCTTTGTCTCCTATGTCTGCATAAAGGGGGAGTAATGAACGGCACACCCATGGAGTTTGGTTCAAGCCTTCCCCTTCTATTTCCTTCATAACTTCTTCAGCTCGCTCTTTAAGCCCCGCTCTTATGTAGCACCTAGCCAAGGTAGCCCGTATTTCTGGATCTAGTTCAATACCTTCTTCCTTCATTGTCTCCACGAGCTTCTCCATTCCAGTTATGTCCCCGGCTAAACCTTTACTGTTGATTAAAAATTGATAGGTGCCGCGAGTCGGCTTGATGTTTTCTCTCTCCATTAGTAACAGAACATCAGATATCTTCTTCCTATCATGCTTACCATAGAGGAGAAGCAGCTGGTTGCAAGCAAACACACTTGTCGGAAACTTTAGTTCTCTCATTTTGTTAAAAAGGTCTTCAGCTTTTTTCACATGACGCTTAAGTACGCAGTTCGCAAGCAGAGTTCTGTATACTACTTCTCCCCTGAAAGATTCTGGAATATCCTTCAAAAACATTTCAGCTTTTTGTAAACCATGTACCTTTGATACCAAATCCAATTGAGAAGCATAATTCGCCTCGGTGAACTCAAACTGCGTATTAGCTCGCAACCACTCCCACATCTGCAAAACCAAAGCAAAGACATACAAATTAAAAGAGGTTGATAGACAAAAACAATAAAATGATGTGTCAAAGTAGAAAATGAGAACAAAATTGACCTGCAAACACATAGCATAAGATCTGCGTTTACGCAGATTGTTTATAGCAAGAGAAACCTCAGCTTGACTCAAATCTTTTCCTTCTTTAACCCACGCATCAAGAACATGTCTCACTGACTTATAGGTAACAATGGATTCATACAACTCAGACTGGGCTCTTTTCTTTTTTGGTTCTCCCTCTTTTGAATGCTTCACTTCCATTTCAAGATCATCCTCAGACGCATCTACATCACCACCAAGCTCAGAACCGAATAAAGAATCATCTTCAACTCCCTCTGTTACATCATTACCAAGCTCTGCCTCAGATAACCCCTGTTCCCTCTCATCCTCATCTCCATTGTCATTTGTATCAGCTATCGAAGAAAGCTTATTGATGCTAATAAAACGCGAAAACACATCTTTTACGGAATAGCTTCTGATTAAACCTTGTGCTCTATTGTTATAAATCAATCCAGAAACTTTGAAAGCACTTCCTTTGTCACCACTTGACAATTCTAGTTTACTGACCGCACCAAACGAAGAGGGAGAAAAGTTATACCTTCGACTCCTAATGACAAAATTAAGGAAAAGCAAAACTTTCAATCCAAAAAATTGCTCACTGATAAACACAAGAGCTCTAAATGACCAAAACCCAGACCCAGAATAAAAAATGACGAAGCTTTTTAGTTTTTACCTTCGCAGAATCTTCGTAATCGAATTCATAACTTCCTTCAACCAAATCAAAACACTGAGAAAACAATTCGACAACACTGGTAGTATCAGCAATTCATTTTACAAGAAGTAGAATCAAAAACCCATTTTTCTCATAGCATAAACAAGATCGATAAAAATAGAAAAATTCCGGTAAAAATTAAAATCGGAAATGAGCTGATACACTAAACACAGATACTGTATGGAGGAGAGTTGTGAGAGAAGCTTACGGATTTCAGAGATTTGTTTTCGCCGGAGAGAAGTAATTCCCCCTACACGACAAAAAAAAAAAAAAAATTAGGGTTTAATGCCTGCTGCTAGGGTTTATCCGTGCCAAGGACTAGTAGTAATCACTTTTCCTCATTTCCATTCCAAACGTGAGAGGTGGTTAAAGGGTATAATGGTCATTTTATTCTCTAAGGGCATGTTTGGTGCCAAACGTTTGAAATAAATAACTTTGCGTATTCGAGTTAAATATAATAAATGATTATGGTAAATTCCAACGTAGATCATGCTTAATATTAAGGTTAACTAAATCACGTGTAAGAGTAAGAAAATTGAAAAATGTTTTAATATATTTTAGTATATCATTTTATAACCCAGTTAAGACTTAAGAGTATGATTTGATTTGAAAGGATCTTTATATTACAGGCTACGACGATAGGGGAATAATATAGTAGCGTAGGTGTATGTATTAAATAAATAAATAATGAGACAAAAGAAAATTGAAAATTTGATTAACGAAACACACCACTATGGTTATATTATGCATAGACAGAGACGTTGGTCAGAGCAAACAAAGTTGGAAAACTTAC